CAGTCTTCAGCATTCATCAGAGATTCACACAGATGAGAAGCCCTATGTTTGTACTTAATGTGGAAAAACTTTTCACCAGAAGTCAAACCTCAGCAAGCATTGGAGAATTTACACATGTGAGAATCTAGATGAATGTAAAGAATATAGGAAACCTTTCTACAGTAAAGCAGACCTCAGTGTACGTCAAAGAACTCACACAGTTGTGAAACCATATGAATGTAATGAACGTAGGAAATCTTTCTACAAGAAATCAAACCTTATTAGTCATGAACACACTTCAGGATTCATCAGAGAACTCACGTAAAAGAGAAAACCTATGAATGTACAGCTGTTCATTCTATCCACAGAGGATTGGTTTCAAAACTTTCCATAGATACCAAAATCTGTGGATGCTCAAGACTTATATGAAGTGGTGAGCTATTGTGTAACATTCTGCTGCACAATTTCACATCATGTCTAGATTACTTTTATTACTGAATACATTAAAAACAATATAAGTAGTTGTTTTTTTTTTTCTGGAAAAAAATAGCTAGTCTTTGCCATGCAGTATTTCTCCCTCATGTGAATTCTCTGATGTCTGCTTAGGTGTGACTTCTGACAAAAGATGTTCTACATTCATTACAATGAGCCTTCCATATCCACAAGATCCACATTCATGGATTCAACCAAGTATAGATCAAAAATATTTGAAAAAAAGAAAGTATTTCAATACAAAATATACCAAAAAAACCAACTACTTATATTGTTTTTAATGTATTCAGTAATATAAGTAATCTAGACATGATGTGAAATTGTGCAGAAGAATGTTACACAATAGCTCACCACTTCATATAAGACTTGAGCATCCACAGATTTTGGTATCTATGGAATTTTGAAGGTTTTTTTCACACTCATTGTATTCATAGGGCCTTTTCTATGTGTGATTTTTCTTATGTTTATTGAGATGTGTGAGTTCTCTGATGAATCCTGAAGTGAGCTCATGACTAATAAGGTTTGATTTCTGGTAGAAAGATTTTCTACGTTCATTACATTCATATGGTTTCACAACTGTGTGAGTTCTTTGATGTACACTGAGGTCTGCTTTACTGTAGAAAGGTTTCCTATATTCTTTACATTCATCTAGATTCTCACATGTGTAAATTCTCCAATGCTTGCTGAGGTTTGACTTCTGGTGAAAAGGTTTTCCACATTCATTACATACATAGGGCTTCTCATCTGTGTGAATCTCTGATGCATGCTGAAGATTGACTTACTTTTGAAGGTTTTTTTCACACTCATTGTATTCATAGGGCCTTTTCTATGTGTGATTTTTCTTATGTTTATTGAGATCCTAGTTATGTTAGAAAGATTTTGTACATTCTTTATATTCATATAGTGTCTCACCTGTGTGAGTACTGTGATGTACATTAAAGTCTGATTTACTTTAGAAAATTTTTGAACATTCTTTTCATTCATATGGTTTCTTATCTGTGTGAATTCTCTGATGTCTGGTGAGGTGTGACTTCCTGTGAAAGGTTTTCCCACATTGACTACATTCATATGGTTTCTCACCTGTGTGAGTTCCCTGATGTACAATGAGGCATGATTTACGGTAGAAAGTTTTTCCACATTCTTTACATTCATATGGTTTCTCACCTGTGTGAATTCTCTGATGCTTCTTGAGATTTGAGTTCTCGTGAAAGGTTTTTCCACATGCACTACATTCATATGGTCTCTCACCTGTGTGAATTCTCTGATGCATGCTGAGGTGTGACTTCTGTTGAAAGGTTTTTCCACATTCTTTACATTCATATGGTTTCTCTCCTGTGTGAATTCTCTGATGCTTCCTGAGATTTGACTTCTCGTGAAAGGTTTTTCCACATGCACTACATTTATATGGTCTCTCACTTGTGTGAATTCTCTGATGCATGCTGAGGTGTGACTTCTGTTGAAAGGTTTTTCCACATTCACTACATTCATATGGTCTCTCACCTGTGTGAATTCTCTGATGCATGCTGTGTTGTGACTTCTGGTGAAAGGTTTTTCCACATTCACTACATTCATATGGTTTCTCTCCTGTGTGAATTCTCTTATGTATACTGAGGCATGATTTACGGTAGAAACTTTTTCCACATTCACTACATTCATACGGTTTCTCACCTGTGTGAGTTCTCTGATGTACATTGAGGTGTGATTTACAGTAGAAAGTTTTTCTACATTCTTTACATTCATACGGTCTCTCACCTGTGTGAATTCTCTGATGCATGCTGTGTTGTGACTTCTGGTGAAAGGTTTTTCCACATTCACTACATTCATATGGTCTCTCACCTGTGTGAATTCTCTGATGCCTGCTGAGGTCTGAGGACTTGTGAAAGGTTTTCCCACATTCATTACACACATATAGCTTCTCCCCTGTAAGTGTTCTGTTATGGATTGTAAGGGATAATTTCTTCATGAATGATTTATCACATTCACTATATTTATAGGGTTTCTCTTCTGTGTGTATTTTCTGCTGTTCAATGAGTTCATAATTTTCACAGAACTTTCTCCAAAATATGTCAAACTGAAAAGCTTTCTCTGACACTGGAATTATCTCTTGGGCAAGAATAGGTGACTTATGAAAGACTTTCCCATAATCAAATTTACAGGATGTCTCTCCCATATACACTTTCTTCTGTTCCAATAATATTGGCTCTGTGTTGAAGGATTTCCATTGTCCACTATATTCAAAAGCCTGCTGCTGAGCATGAATCTTGGAATGATGATTAAGATGCTCACAACGTCTCCACAATTTCCCAGTTATATTACCACCATCAGATTTCTCTCCAACATGCATCCAATCAGCCTCTCTAGGAGGAAGTGCATTCTGACATACAATGAACTCTTTGCACCTCATTCCTAAATACTTTTCACTATTTATAATTGAATTTGAAATATGGTTTGAGCTCAAATGAAATGCTTGTTCTATTTCAACTCTCTCCTCAGTTGATGTATTGCTGTTGGTAATTACAACATCCTGCAAATGTGTATCATGACGTTCTTGGCTTTTTGTAATTAGAGCTTTGACTATCTGAACATCTGCAATAAGAAAAAAATACCATATCCATAAGCCACACATAAGTATTGCTAAAATGAGCATATAAAGGTAAAGAAGTTTTTTCATATTCTCATGGCATAGGATTGTACAAAAATGAATAATGGAAATTGGATTTATAAGTATACACATTTCCTACCATAATGTAATAAATTGTATTAACATATTTTCTAATGTACCATTTTTTTCTTTATTTTTCATTCATAAGAAAATATTTGGTAAAACGTTCACCTATGCTTGGTCATAATTTTCAACCAAGTGCTTATCATCTGACATTTGTTTACCCTATTTTATTTCGCTATTTTATTCTTATAACAACAGTGGGTATCACATAGTGCTTTTTTCCCTTCTCATTCTGATTTGAGTGTGGTAATATTTTACTGGGTCAGGTACTTTCAAGTTCAGCAGGAAACCAATTTTCTTTCCTTTAAACGGAAATTTGGCTTAGGTTCAGAATTTTGCCGCTATTGTTCATTTCGTTTTCATTCTTCCCTACAAAAAGGCTATAGACATATGGAAATTTTTCAGATAAAACATCTCCTTTCCCACACAGTAGATAAAGACATCTTACTACAAATTTCTCATTTAACATCACTGCCTCTGCTTCTCAAAAAGCTCCATTTTACCACACTGTGCACCCCTTTTCTGCACGTTTAAGACATTTTGTTGTCAACCCAGGATGTACCCACAATATTTCAATTTCTGTTTAGCTCCTTCTGGCATTCTACCTCTGTTTTCTGGTGCACACACCTCTGCTTTATAATTTGCTGCTTATGAAGGCTTTTATTTTTTGCAATGAAGTTTCAGTTGTGTCCTATTTTCATAAAAAATAAAGTCTTGTGTACATTCCATGTTCTTTGTTGGTTTAGAATAATATTCACAAAGAGAAGGGGAACACGCTAACTTCAAATTCCAGTACTCCACAAAACAATCTGAGCCCTTCAACATAAAACTCTTGGTTCACTTGATGTTGGGACCCACAATCTCATGAATCTCCTTCCAAGTCCAGTAGCTCCTTTCCAGGTACCTATGCTGTATCCTTAACAGCTTCACACTTTCTGATTCATGGTACACAATGCTCATTCTGGACCTCTTTGCTCATTTTCTTATCAACACCCTAGGTAACCTCCTCTATAATTATGACTTTAAAACTCAGCTGGGCTGGCCCCGTGGCGCACTCGGGAGAGTGCAGCACTGGGAGTGCAGTGGCAGTCCTGCCGCAGTTTCGGATCCTATATAGGGACGGCCAGTGCGCTCACTGGCTGAGCACGGTGCAGGCGACACCAAGCCAAGGGTTGTGATCCCCTTACCGGTCACAAAAAGGAGAAAAAAATATTAGCTGTAAGCCACCAATTTCCAAATTTGTAGCTCCCATAGTGATGTCCTCTCTAAAATCTCAATTTTACACTTATGAAAGTATAATATGTCAAATCTGGAAAAGAGTTAAGTTGAACTTACATTATGCCAAAGTAAACAATAATCTTCCTAGAACTGCTCAATCTGGATATCCTTCTTAAATTCTCACTACCCACTTTTCTGTCTCTCTCACTGTGGTTACATATTCCTCATGATTCTAATGCAAATATTTAATGTATATTATTATCTTGTTTCTCATCAGAATGTGAACCCTATGAAAGAGACATTATTTAATTATTGCTGTTTTAAGTACAACTATATATAAAATAAACAGTGCTTAAAACCCACTTAATTATGATGTAGTTTAAAAATATGTGTATAAATAAATGTTTGTGCTATAATTTAAATGTTCCCCCAAACTCGTATTGAAGCTTAATCATCATATTAACAGTATGAAGAGTGTGGAAAATCTGACTATGATATTTGAACTGTAAGGCTTTGAGGAAGTTATTGGATAGTGAAGGCCATGCCTTTATGAATGGATTGATCTGTTCATGAAATAGTGAGTTAATGGGTTATGGGGGTAGATTGGTGGCTTTAAACAGCATGTGGACACACTGTTGCCACTCTCACCTTGTGATACACTGCACCAACTGTGGACTCTGCTGAGAGTCTCCACAAATGAGAAGACCCCCACCAGATGTGACACCTCAACCGTGGACTTGTCTGCCTACATAACTATAAAAAATAAATTTTGGGGGCCGGCCCGGTGGCGCACTGCTACAGTGCGCCGCTTGGGAGCACGGTGGCGCTCCCGCCGAGGGTTCGGATCCCACATACAGACCGGCTGCTCACTGGCTGACCGAGGTGTGGGCGCAACGCCGAGGGTTGCGATCCCGTTGCCCGTCCCGGTCTGGTACGGGCGCGACACTGAGGGTTGCGATCCATTGCCGGTCACGAAAAAAGACAAAAAGGAAAATAAATAAATAAATAAATTTTGGTTCCTTACAAATTACCTATTTTCAGATATTCAGTTACAAGCAGAAAAACATGGACTAAAACATTCTGGAAGAAGATGTACATGATAATGGACAAAAAGAGAGCTACTAAGAATACTGGTACAGTTCACAGTTAATAAATGGGTCTAAAACANGGCCAGCCCCATGGTGCACTCGGGAGAGTGCGGCTCTGGGAGAGCAGTGGCACTCCTGCCACGGTTTTGGATACTATATAAGGATGGCCAGTGTGCTCACTGTCTGAGCACGGTGTGGACGACACCAAGCAAAGGGTTGTGATTCCCTTACCAATCACAAAAAGAGCTTCATGGTACACAATGCTCAGTTCTGGACCTCTTTGCTCATTTTCTTATCAACACCCTAGGTAACCTCCTCTATAATTATGACTTTAAAACTCAGCTGGGCCAGCCCCATGGTGCACTCGGGAGAGTGTGGCTCTGGGAGAGCAGTGGCACTCCTGCCGCGGTTTTGGATACTATATAGGGATGGCCAGTGCGCTCACTGGCTGAGCGTGGTGTGGACGACACCAAGCCAAGGGTTGCGATCCCCTTACCAGTCACAAAAAGGACAAAAAAAAAAAAATCAGCTGTAAGCCACCAATTTCCAAATTTGTAGCTCCAATAGTGATGTCCTCTCTAAACTCTCAATTTTATACTTATGGAAGTATAATATGTGAAATCTGGAAAAGAGTTAAGTTGAACTTACATTATGCCAAAGTAAACAATAATCTTCCTAGAACTGCTCAATCTGGATATCCTTCTTAAATTCTCACTATCCACTTTTCTGTCTCTCTCACTGTGGTTATATACTCCTCATGATTCTAATACAAATATTTAATGTATATTATTATCTTTTTTCACATCAGAATGTGAACCCTATGAAAGTTACATTATTTAATTATTGCGTTTTAAGTACAACTATATATAAAATAAACAGTGCTTAAAACCCACTTAATTATGATGTAGTTAAAAAACATGTGTATAAATAAATGTTTCTGCTAAAATTTAAATGTTCCCCCAAACTCATATTGAAGCTTGATCATCATATTAACAGTATGAAGAGTGTGAAAAATCTAACTATGG